TATTGCCTTGTTGGGGGTAAAATGAGTAAATGACTGACTCCCCTCCCCACCAAAAAAAAAAAAGAAAAGGCACAGTACTAGATTAGCAGTAAGGATTCATAATTTAACAGTTTTTTTCTTGCCTTCCAATTTCTTGCTTCCCAGTCAACCTTGATCTTCCAAAATTTAAAAAACTATGTCAATCATTATTTCCAGTCTTAATTCTTGTTCTTACATTGTTCTCTCTCCATATTCTCTAACACTCTGTAACCCCTTTCGTCTTATTGGGGTGAAATGATTAAAAAAAATTATTCTTAGAAATTCTTTGCATCATTATTCAGTTATCAAAATGTTTTCTCAGACTTCCAATGACCTTACAAAATCTTTCAGCGAAATTGTGCATTCCATTGTAAAACACTTATAGATATGTTGAAACAAATGACACTGAATTGTTGAAAAGTGCAAAGTAAAAAGAAAAATGATTCTGTGTGACTCTGAGATGTTAAATTCAATGGATTGGTTTGAATTCTTATCCAAACTGGACAATTCTTGTTGTACTGATGGTTAAATAATTCCCAATGCTTCATCAAAGATCGCAAATATCAAACAGTTAGTCAGTTATGCTTAGGCGATCATGTATCTTTCGATACATGACTGACGAGGCAGATTTTTTCCCGTAGTAGGTTGCCATTTTTTTTCTGCAGTAGACCAGTTGCTATCCAAGGCTATAGAATCCGGTCTGTCCTGCTGGGGGGAGTAGAAGAGGATTCATACCGTTCCCAAGGAGTGAGAATAGGAGGATTCATACCTTTTCCAAGGGTATTAGCACATAAGTGAATGTAATGAATTCGACTGGAAATCGAACTCAGCTCTCCGATTCCTCAATCCGAGGAGCTATCCATTACCCCACCGTGAAATTTCTTTCTGCGGTAGACCAGTTGTCATCAAGGCTATAGAACCGGGTCTGTTCTGCTGGGGGGGAGAAGAGGATTCATACCGTTTCCAAGGAGGGAGAAGGAGAGGATTCAAACCTTTCCAAAGTGCACGTAAGTGAATGTAATGAATTCGACTGGAATTCGAACTCTGTTCCACTCAATCCGAGGAGCTATCCATTACCCCACCGTGCCTACAACGAAAATTTCACATTAATCTTCAGCTAATGTGTGATAACTATGTCTACAGATTTATTGATCCACTTAGTGATGGTGATAATTTTATTTTTTAGGAATTGTTTCGTTCTTTTCACTAATAAATCTTTTATCTACGGAATCAATAAAAAAACACAAGTAATTAATAATTTCACACTTAAAATCTTCTCAGACTTCGTTTTCAAATAATAATCTATGTCATAAAAGAAAAATTAATTCTCTGTCCGTTACCCACTGTCTGTGTGTGCTTGTTTAGTAATCCTCATTTCAGTTTCAAACATTTTCTTGAATTTCATTGATTGTTAAATAAAAAATAATCTTCGAGAAATTTCCATAACAAAATAATCAAAATTTGTGCAAAAGTAGGCTCAGCCGACACAAAAAAAAATCTTTCTCATATTCATCCCTAATTTAAATGTTTCAAGAAATCCTATTGGCTAAAAAATAAAAAAATACAACATTCGCCCACGCATTTCTCAGAAAAATTCGCAACAGCTACCAAGCCCCATTGTGCCGATTTTGTTGTTAAGAAAGCTATAGAAATAGCAAACGAATTTTCGTCGTATTTGAGACTCGCACACGCGAAAGATATATACGAGAATTATGTGCCGCCAAAGAAACAAACTTCCTTTATGAGAGATTAAAAAATATACGCAACAAACTTTTTCACTCAATATCTTTCATAGAAAAATCTTTTGTCTAAATTAAATTTAACCTTTTTAATCAAAGACAGACAACTTTTAGACATTGAACATTTCCGAAACAGCAAATAACTTTTTCTCTAAAATATACCTTTGCACACATCATTACAAAGAAATTGTAAATTGTGTATATAAAATTTAATCTGTTGTTTCAAACATGTATTTTTTGTCGTGCCATCGTTGCCATTTGGCCATTTCTTATAATTTATGTTTGTGGATATTGCATATTTTATTTGCAGCACAATTTTAAATATTCACGCAGCCTTCTTAGATCCACTCCACTTGTATGTAATGCATATGTGTATATCTATGTAATGGGTGAATTCTTTTCTTTTCTTTTTTCTCTTCTTTTAATCAATTCCCTCCACCACATCGTAAGCTAAGCGATTAATGCCACTAAGACACAAGGGGGTTATGAGAGTGACAGAAAATCAGAAGAAGCTGAAAACACAATCCTAAACAGGAAACAAGGGATAAATCTCTGCTCCTGTTCAAAAGACCGGCGAGGAGTGTGAACCGGACGATAGGCGAACCTATCTGCTCCTATTACATGTGTTTGTGCCATTTAATATACACTCATTTTACATGACGAGAATTTGGATGTCTTTGACTAAGCTTGAAATTAAGGCATTGGAATAATACATTCCCTTCCCATCAGTCTGTACAATCCTTACCCTGGGCTGAGCAATAAAATTATAACGTTGGAGACAGCAATAAAAAAAAGTTAATTTTTAAAACCTTAAAAAGTCAGATAATTATAACATTTTATCAAACTTTTTGGAAATTATTCGATAATAAATGAAATTATTTTAAAAGCTTTTTTAAAAAAATGTCGAAATATTATTAGGTCTGTGATTGAATTAAAATATATATGCATATACGCAAGCGTATGTATACACAATTCGAATGAAACTGAAGTAGGAATATCTGTCAAGAGGGCTAATTTGACTTTCATTCTGGCAACATCCCCTGGGTAATAGTAAAAGATATAAACAAAATGCGCTGCGCTCTAAAGACATTTTTTTATTCTTGGATTTTTAGACTGAATATATTTTGTAATAAATGTAGTATTTTAAATGGACAAACAATTTAAAATTGAAATTTGATCATCTTGCCAACAGCGAAGTGACTAGTACCGTACATGGAATTAAACAAAAAATATAGTTTTTTTTGTTTTTTTTTATCTTTTTTTTTAGGTCGGCACAACCAAAATTCACAAAAATGTTGATTTCGATAAAATAAAAAAAAATGTAAACAAATAATAAGGAAAACTTATACAACAATCTGCGAACTTTGGTAGTTTTCGAAACTGTTTCCTACGAACTGGTACAAACAATTTGAATCATAGGTACATCCACTGACTCGTAAAAAATGAACGTACCAAAAAAGTATCATCAAAAATCTTTGTTATATATATATATTGCTAATATATATTTTTTACATCTGTTATACTCCCACCCCCTTATTTAATTTTATGAAATGTCGAGAAATTTTGTTAAAAACAGAACTCCTTGGAGAATTTAAATTATTTTCTTTTCGTAATACAGTCATCCTAGTTACCACAATCCTAAAAAGAATTCAATAAAACTAAAACCTTATTTAATTAGAAAAGCTTTTAGTTGCTTTTATGAATACGATATACTCTGGACACGATTGTCTTAAAAAAAAGTTTTCGATGAATAATGAATTTTTTCAAGAATTGTTTTCACTTTTTTTAAATTTTAAATAATTTATAAAGTTTTAATTTGTCTGTCTTAATTTGTATCAGTTAGGTGATATTATGACTAAGTAAAAAAAAACTATATTTACTAACTAACCATAAATGCTTATTACAATAACAGTTTGAGTTACAGTTACACCAATATTCTAAAAAGAATTTTGAATTTTTTTGTATGTTTATAAAATTGCCGATTTGGGCTTGTCTCGCTAGAACGATTACGACTGTGTAGTGAGTTTATTCTCACTGGGTGCCCCCTACTTTAGGCCTTGTGCCACATCTAAGTCTGCTTGGAAAATCACTATAAACTTGCCGATTTTTTGTAAATACGGACGACCATATAGGACATTATCAGAAAATAAGAGCGATAACTATAGTAAATTTAAACTAAAGCCAAAGTACCTAAAATTCAATAAAGCATTAGATTATGGAAAATATTTTCCTAAAGATAACTGGCGCCGATGTTATATTTCTCAAGTAATTTGACAGATATACCCACCGTAGAACAAAATTAGATAAACTTCCGTCTATCAGTCCCAGCTGCCAACACCTTAAATAAACCTTAAATAAACAGATACTGCCGTGTTAAAAATGCATTTCTGCGATATTTGTAATATTTGTTTAAAATTCGATTGATTCAGCTAATATTCCTCAATTAAAGTTTCAGAAAAGTATATTCTACTTTTGAAAGATTTTTAAATATAGATTTGATTCTATGTTTTTGTTTAGCGGCATATCAACATCTAAATACTTCGTACACAATTTTTTTTTTTGAGATAATAATGGTTTTAGTGGTACTTACTAATTAACCCATAGATGGGAGGAGAAGAGGTGGATTTATAGCTTTTTCCAAAGGTATTTGCACATAGACTCACCCACCTATAATAAATAGTAGTAGTAATAGTCGGTCAGTCAGTCGACTGGCTGATCGGTTGAACTCTCTGCCTTTGGGCGGGGAGGAGCCCGAAGGCAGAGAGTTCAACCGATCAGTCGGACGGGGAGGAGCCCGAAGGTGGCTACGCCGAAGGGCGGATTCTCTTTCGGGGAGGTAAACCAACCCTGAACTCGTTTATACGGGTTCAATGGGCATATTTTTGGCCGAGCCCACGGGCTCGGAGATCCCACGGGCTCGGAGATCCCACGTTAAAAAGGCCTTGTGCCACATGACGCCCTCGTGGGGGGGTGACTGAATATCGTCGGTCAGTCAGTCGTTGCCGGACAACCGTTAGTCGGATATTAAAGTATCAGCGACTACCACTAGATTTCTCTGCGTCATTACCTATTATATCAAGTTCCTAACGTTTGTACGTCGAACCTATTTTAGGACCGACTTAGTGAAATACAAGCCTCCACTGTGAAACTACTCTACAACAATAAGTGAATACAACGAACCCAACTAGCTCTTCGACTAACAATTCCGAGCTGTTATCCATTACACTAACCTCATATCCAAGTTTACAGCACCCGGTATTCCCAAGTGGTCACCCATCTAGGTACTGACCAGGTTCGACGTTGCTTAACTTCGGTCATCGTACAGCGGTGGGGGGGTAGCTTCAACGATGTGACCGTAAGCCTTTTTAATAAACAGGAGTTTTTCTTTCGAAATTGCTAAAAATAGCTAATTTTAGCGCCATTTTTCGCCATCTTTCATCATAAGCTACTTCCTGTCAATTTAAATTACTTTTGTGATACAGAAAAGGCAAATTGCTTATTGGAAATATTAAATTTAACCTTTTGGCTTGAAATTAAAACTCAAAGAAATATCTTCAAGATAGATTTTTCATTTTTGAAAATTCATTTTAACCCTTAGGTATCCCGTTTGTGTGGAGGTACCTATGCTACGGAAACCTTATACATCCACTAGGCCATGTTTTTCATGCTTAATGAAGCTGCAGTGCTCATCTTTGAAGAGAATGAGGATTAGCTGCAATGTTATGATAAAAACAACAAAAAAAAAAAGATGATCATCCAAAACAATTGCATATTCAACTCAGAAATGTCAGTGATATTCCCAAGCGGTCGCACATCTAATTACTGACCAGGTTTGACGTTGCTTAACTTCGGTGATATTAGCCGTTTCATTAAGGAAACAAACAGCATTTATTGATCAAGAAACCAGTACTACTGTCGATTGAAATTTATAAAATCTTTCTCTTAAAACATATTTTATCAGGAAAATAGATTTTTCATGTCCAGTAGCTGTTATCGTTCTTTACAGCGTTGAGGGGGGGAGGCTTTCCTTCCTAACATTTTATTTGAAGTAGTGTGGAATGTCAACATTTTGATTATGTCATTATTTTCTCTTCTCAAGCCCAGTAGCTGTTATCTCTCTTTCCAGTATTGAAGGAGGTTTCCTTCCTAACCTTTTGTTTGAAGTAGTGTGGAATGTCAACATTTTGATTATGTCATTATTTTCTCGTCGAGTTATATGTGACATCAGCTTTTCAGTAATTTGGGATATTTCTTTAACGAGCCTCATATTCTGAGCTTTCTTTTGGACTAGTAAAGTCATGCATCAGAAATAAAATGAAAAATATCGCCCGAAATGCAATGTCATTTATTTTAAATTATTTTTTTCTATAAGTATAATTTAATCTTTAAGAAAAAAAAACAATTCACATACATAGTTATTCTATATAAATATGAGGCTAGTTAAAGAACTCTAATGAAGTAAATACACTATTATTATATGCCAATTATTTTTTTTAATAATGTTTACTTAATACAAGGCCCAAGAGCCATTCAAGCTATAGAGTAACTGAATTAAGTGTGATATTAATGTAAGAGTAGGAAGTGAGAATTATGTTGATATGCAGGACAGGTAATGTTTGACCTTTGACTAGAAAAGGTTAAGATTTTAGCGTTCGGGGAAGCATCCGCGCGGGAGTCTGTTCCACAAAGCAATGATCTTTGAGAAGAAAGTTGTCTGAGTGGAACTTCCTCCTTATAATTTAGAGAGGGTTAAAACCCTATGGTACACGTAATTTGTAATATTGGACGCATCAAAAAATGATAAAGTGTTGAAGTCTATAAAACAAAGACGTGTCTTGTTACATACAATAGCCTTTATTAATATAAATTTGATAACTTTGAGAACAAAAAAAAAAAAAAAGAAAAAAAGGAAGAGGCGGAAGAAGAAGCGGCAAAAGGAGGTGTCCGTTCGCTACTGTGTACCAGGTGTCATTGGCTCCAGAATACTTACACATATTTCAAGATGACTGCAAAAACAAAAGGAGCATTAAAATAAATTTAAATGGAATTGCATCGACATGAGACATTACACAATCACTGAGTGATAAATTGCAACGGAATTGTTTTATTTAAATAGTCTGTGTTGGGTACAAATCTAGCAATGCCCGCCAAATAATGATGTGTCAAAAAGACAGTTATTCCCTTAACATCTCTATTAATTTATATACTTTCGACTCCTTCGGCAATGTTCATTGTTTTACAAAGCGATGATTAGAATTTTAATAAAACCCCAAAATATGAAAGTGGATTTACACATTTTCTTTATTCTTGAGAACTGACAACAAAGATGTTAAACACTATTTATTTATTAGATTGCTGATTTAAAAGAATAATTTACAAGATTATATAAAAATATGTGAACCAGTTACTACAGAATTTTTGCTTTGTTGTCCTGTATTTGTGTGTATGTTCACATAAAGACAAAGAACAACAAACACTTGGGTTTCTACTACGAATCGTTTCTTCTGTTTGCTAGAAATTGTAGGGAAACAAAATTCTCAATGTCTCGTGAATATGTCTGTTTTCTTATTCTAGTCCAGATGTAAATCAGGGTAAGTAATGATAAGAATGGTTGTAATGGTCGAGTTCATGTCAGCTTTGCGCTGAGTTGGAACGACCAAAATAAAGGTTGCGCTTAATTCATCAATAGACGTTGTGCAAAACACGTCCGAACGCTATGTGTTGGAAAGTGGAAGAGAGTACACTTCTGTTTGTCCTTATCGGAAGTGGGGTCATAAAATTGCGCAGATGACCAAAATCCTTTCTGGTTACTTTATTACTTGCATCATGGGAAAATGTATTTCTTTTCTTTTTTTATTATTATTATTATTTTATTTATTGATTTTAATTTTCTTTCACAACAAGAAATAGATATAAAAAGATTTTTTTAATCAGAATGTTATAAAAATTGAAAATATAAAACAAGAATTATTTATTTTTTTATGTTTTATGCCTGAAAACTACGTTTATATCAAATTTTCTTGTTCCTGGATATTTTTTTATAAAATTAGGAATAAAAATCTTGTTTTTGTAGTTATTTATAAAATATTAAATAATAAATATTGCTATTTACACTTTTACATTGTTCGGACCGTTGTTCTCATCTTTATTGATATATTCACAACGTTTCAGCCGTTGTACGCTCCGGCCATCTTCAGGTGATATTTGTTGTAAATAGTTACATTACCTCATCTCAGAAATAGAGACAGAATAAATATTGTAGTTGGTTTACATATTTTGATAATTTTGTAACATTTTTTATAAATTTTTGAATTATACATTTCTTTTCAAATGGTTAATAATAAATCTTTATAAAAGTTGAATAATATACATACATTTTTATAATCTTATAAGTAAACATTGCCGAGGGAGACAAAAGTGAATATGCTAATATCAAGGATGATAAAATGAAAATTTCATAGTGTACATTCGACAGTATATATTCGTACGATATATAAACATATATTAAAACAAAGTGATTGGAAGTGCAAGTATAAAAACTATTCTTCTCTCTGCCGTGTCCTTTCAGGACGTAGGCGATCACGGCTCTCCACAATTTCCTGTCTTTTGCAGCTCTTAGTAAATTTTGTCCTTTTGTTATCTCTACTAATCCCTGTTCTGTCAACCATTTACACAAGCACGTTCTTCTATGAGCCGTGTCGTTTCAGGACATCGGCGATCACGGCTCTCCACAATTTCCTGTTTTTTGTAGCTCTTATTATATTTTGTCTTTTTGCTATCTCTCCTAATCCCTGTTCTGTCAACCATTTACACAAGCACGTTCTTCTATGAGCCGTGTCGTTTCAGGACATCGGCGATCACGGCTCTCCACAATTTCCTGTCTTTTGTAGCTAATCCCTGTTAGTAAATTTTGTCTATTTTTTTTATCTCTCTAATCCTGTTCTGTCAATTCTTATTTACACAAACATTTATTCACGTTCTTCTATGAACCGTGTCGTTTCAGGACGTCGGCGATCACGGCTCTCCACAATTTCCTGTCTTTTGCAGTTCTTAGTATATTTTGTCCTTTTGTTATCTCTACTAATCCCTGTTCTGTCAACCATTTACACAAGCACGTTCTTCTATGAGCCGTGTCGTTTCAGGACATCGGCGATCACGGCTCTCCACAATTTCCTGTCTTTTGTAGCTCTTAGTAAATTTTGTCTTTTTGTTATCTCTCCTAATCCCTGTTCTGTCAACCATTTACACAAGCACGTTCTTCTATGAAACGTGTCGTTTCAGGACATCGGCAATCACGGCTCTCCACAATTTCCTGTCTTTTGTAGCTCTTAGTATATTTTGTCCTTTTGCTATTTCTCCTAATCCCTGTTCTGCCAACTATTCACACAAATTCGTTAGCTATGGTATTTTTTGCTTTTCTCTTTCCTTCAATATGTCCCGTGAGTGTCAAATTTTCCAATCTTTCTTTTCTCATTATGCACCCTAGAAATTTCAACTGTCTCTTTCTGGTGTTAAGTATAAGTGTCCATTCTGTTTCTATTTCTCTAAAACTTTGTCGTTGCTAAAATGTTCGATTCATGGTATTCTCAGCATCCTTCTGTAGAACCACATTTCTGTTGCTTAAAGTCTTTTTTTTTTCATCTGTGAGGTGAATGTCCATCATTCACTGCTATATAGGAAGATAAATATTACATAACATTTCAATACTCTTTTCTTTGTTTCTATTGAAGTTTTCCTGTTTCTTAATACTTTTCTTAGCTTTTGTAAGATATCTTTCACTATCCCAGTGTGCCCTCGGATTTCGGTGTCACATTTTCCATTTTATGTTAAAACACTTCCCAGATATTTAAATTTTCGTACTTGCTTGATTTTGGCGTCTCCAATTTCTAATTTGCAGGTTGGGCTGTCCCTTTTGCTGACAGCCATGCATTCTGTCTTCTTGCAATTGATGCTTAGTCCTTTCTTCTCGCTTTCCTTCACTACCTTCTGTAGGATTTCTTGAAGTTTTTTTTCTGTGTCTGCTATTAATACTGTGTTTAATAGCTGTATTAAAGAATCTGGGATATCAGAAAGCAACCGCCGTCTGTCTAACTCTCTGCGTAGAGAGGAACCCAGACAAGCTTTGCCGAAGGGCAAGGTTTCGTTCGGATTTATTATGATAGCTCTCAAACTCGCCTAGGCGAGTTCAAAAAATATATTTTGGCCGGGCCTACGGGCTCGGGTGACCACGTAAAACTCGGCCTTGTGCCACATGCGACCCCATGGGGGGACAGCTAAATATAGCTATTAACACTGTGTCATTTGCATATCATATGTTGTTAAGATTGTAGCCGCCAATAATGAATTCTGGTAGAACTTCTAATTCTCTCAAAATTACCTCACTGTATAGTTTGTTTAGTCCGGCGAGAAGACACAACCTTGTCTTACACCGCTTTCTGTTTTGTATATGTACTGAATTCATTTTCTATCCGCATGCAGGCAGTTTGCTGCTAGTATAGCTTCTGGATTATTCTAATATGCTTCCAAAACATGTCAAGGGGTGGACGGACAGTTGCATCCCGGGACATTTGCATCCCCGGATAATTGCGTGCCTCTGATAAATTTTTGAAGTTACCATTTTTTTTAACGATTTGTTTAATATAGAAATTTGCATACCAGTACTTTTAATTGCTCTAAACAAGCAGAAAGATAGTTACCATAAATAAAATAGAGAGAAAAAAATTATTTTTTAAATTAAGAAAAAATTAAGCTCGCCGTTTCATTTCACTCCAGCAATGCGTACCACAAGCATCTACTAGATTCTGGATTTTATAGATTATATTTTTATTTGGAACCCATGGCTAAGTTCCGAAAATCACACACTGGTAGAAAAATATTTTTGGACGAGAAGAATTACAGCTACCTCTATCATAAGAAAAACGCCGATGAAACAAAAACATTCTGGTGATGTGTAAAGTGATCTGCCATTTTATTTTATCACTGTCAATCTGCCATTTTATTTTTAACAAAAATAAACTTTTAATTTAATTTAATTTTATTCCTCTTTTTTAAAATTAATGATCACTACCTATGCTTTCTTTTTTCAGAATTTATGGTAATTGAGTTTAAAAGCTTCAAAAAAACTATTAGAGGTACGCAATTATCCAGGGACGCGAATGTCCAAGGACGCAAATGTCTGGAACGCAATTGTCCCGGACGTAACTGTCCCGGACGCAAATGTCCAGTACGCAACTGCCCTGGAACCATGTCATGGTTACCTAGCAGTTCTAACAGTTCTTTGTGACCGAAAATAGCAAAAAACAAGTCACTAAAAAGAAGTTAACCAATTATCCCTCCTCGCTCTCCAGAGTTTAATCGAGGACAAAACATAAATATGTGCTAATTATCTGGTAGTATATTTTTTTCTCTACACCATGTTTTTGTTGTTGTTGTCGTTGTTGTTGTTATTTTTCGATTCAACACTTTAGGGTGATTAATTTTTTTTTTTTATCTTTACTATTCCTCCCATTTTGTTTTAATATATTTATATATACAGGATGCGGCAGAAATACCCCCTCCACATTGGTCTTTCTTGTCAACATTTAAAATATGAACGGTATATGTATATATATATATACTTCTTAAAATGTTCGTTTTTAAAGCCATAATAAAATTGTTATATATTTTCCAGCACTACTTATGTTAACTGGTCCACTTAAAAAAAAATAAAAAACAGGTGAAATAATTTTTTAGGTCGGGGAGATTTTGTACATTAAAATACATTAGACATTCATTTACCCACGACATTTCTCAAGATCGAAAATATTGATTTTAGAAGCGAGGTCCCGTTTATAAAATACAGTGTTACAGTGGTCTCTTACTTCTTAAAGAGTTATCTATACTTTCTTTTTATTTATAAATGTCAAGTTTGAAACCAGTTAATTTAAGTAGTGTCTTGTTTTTTTGGGAGAAATCGTTTCCTTTCTTCACAGCAAGTATTTGTATTTTCAGAAGCAAAAAGATAATTAGCGAACGAAGCCAATTGTATTACGTACATAGACTTATCAGAGGCATTGCCATTATGTGTGATATTGTTGGGGTTTATCTCCTCCTTAAATTTTGAAATTGCTCCTAGGGGACGCTCTCCCAACACTATATATACTTGACGAGACCCTGTCTTACTCTCTTTCACTTTTCATTTTCAGCCGACTCTACGACAATGTAGGCTCTTGCAGAAGAAAGTGGCCCCTCCTGTGGAACACGCATGAACATTACACACACACGCACACACACACACGTACGTACGAACATTAACATTCACTCATACATACTTTGAAACACAAACTTCACACACATACGCATTAATGTCTTTGTTTTTTTTGTAAATCCTTTTGTTGTTAATGCACATAATTGTTTATATATATATATATATATATATATATATATATATATATATATATATATATATATATATATATATATAAATATAGATAACTAGACTCGTTTCGAAAAACCCTCGAATTTTTGATTTGCTAATCAAATCAATCTCGAGGGAAAAAAAGGTTTTAAAAAAAAGAAAGAGCTACAAACATGAACTTCTGTCGACAAAAAATCGCACAGATGCAGGTCTGAAGCCCAAAGAAAAAAACCCGATACGAGTAAACAACTAACTAACAAAAGAGCTCAATACAACCGTAGAGCAGACCTAGATACACCTAGTGAGCCAGACAAACCTACCTAGGTTTCACCTAAACGGATCGTCAGGGAAAGTAAGAGCTTACTTTCCCTGACGATCCGTTTCTATCTATCTATCTATCTATCTATCTATCTATCTATATATATATATATATATATATATATATATATCGGTCCTTGTCGTTTCTTTTACATTTCTTTTGGGCAGACTCATTCAGAGTCTGCCGTATTTGTAGTGAGCCCTATTTCAGGAGATACACATGTACATCTCACTACGCGTACAAATACAAGTCCCGCTACAATATGACGGTAAATTGAACTCTATTGAGATAGATGGAAGGAAGTCAGATCTTGGTAAATAATGTAGCAATCCTCTATTACCCAAATAATAATAATAATAATAATAATAATAATAATAAACGATTACAAATAATGGAAGCAATGTATATTAAAAGTAAAGCGCCATAACTAAAGAAAATAGGTTCTCAAGCATTTATAATCTAAACTGCACGTCCGTCACGTGACATTACATAGACGTTAGATCTTAAATTCAAATCTTACCTGATTAACTGGCAATATATATCTCAACAGACTTTAACCCAAATCAGCAACTACCATCTACGAATACTTCTTTCCTGATGATAATCGAAAGAACGGTCGAAACTACGTAGACTCACACTTCCAACCAATTCGTTTCTATTCGAGCGCCGTAACCGACTACTGCAGCCATGGCAGCAGGGTTGTGTCTTAGGCTAGATAACCTGACGGAGCCCGTCCTTCTGGTTTTGAATACAGAGACTGGTTGCCAACTCAAGGCAAGAGAGACTAGTCTACGCTGCTATTAAACCCATAGCTGGAGTAAGATAGATCCAAGGGTACTAGCGCGAAGTGAAATTTAATCGAGTGGTAAAAAAATTAGAACAGGAATGAAACCAATTTTTCAGTACAGAATGAACCTTTAATCACGATGGAGTAATGGATAGCGGCTCGGATTAAGAAATCAGAGAGCCGAGTTCGAATTCCAGTCGAATCCATTAGATTCACTTATGTGCTAATACCCTTGAGAAAGGTATAAATCTTCTTCTTCCCCCAGCTATGGGTAAATAGCAGGACAGACCGGGTTCTGTAGCCTTGGATGGCAACTTGTCTAACGCAGAAAGAAACGGCAGCGTACTGCGAGAAAAAAAATCTGCCTCGTCAGTCAGGTATCGAAAGATACATGATCGTGTATTACGTATGGCACGTAACTGACTGACTGGCGTCGAATTTACTCTCAGCGTCTCCTTCAAACAATTCAAATATGAACAATACATTCATAAATTCACATTCAATATAAAAAGGGTTAATTAGACAACAAGAAAAACTGATCAAGGAACATGAACATTATTCTTTGTTTTATTGAATAACATCTGCATAAAGGAAGATTTGCTGCCTATATATATATATATATATAGTGTATCAGAAATACTTTTACAAACTTTGGACCGGGTTCCTTACACCAAAGCAAGGACAAAAGTCAATATAAACATATGTTCGCAAATCCTACACTTTTGAGTTATTAAGTTTAAAGAAAGTTAACAGTCGATGGAGCTGTGATGAGATGTAGACGACATTACATTTGTCATTCGTGTACATTAGTGGGTAGTCTGTATTCAACGTTTAATTTGTGTAGTATTGAGTTAACTGAGAACTCTTCCGTTTAACAATTGCAGGACATTCAACGTTTTTAAAAGTATGTTTGGATTGTATCATGAATTGCATATTTAACGTCGTCTACTATAAACTTTAAACTTAATAACTCAAAAATGAAGGATTTGCAGACATACCTTTATATGAACTTTTGTCTTTGTTTTGGTTTGAGGAACCTGCCCGTAAAGCTTATAAAAGTATTTTTGATACACCCTATATATATATATATATATATATATATATATATATATCTTGAAACATTATTTTTAGTGGATAGCCGTATTTCAGTAGAACGTCCCATTTTTCTAAAATAGTTTATATTTCATCTACTGGCGTGTCTATTCGAGAAAGCTTAATAAAGATAATGTGCCCTACGGTAGGATTTTATCTGTTAAGTTTTCTCAAATAAAGAGGCCGGTAGATGAAATAAACACTGTTTAAATAAAAGGGAATAAAAGGGAAGTTCTGCTCAAATACGGTAACTACTAAAAATTAAGCTTTGAAGTAATAAAAATATGTCGGATTAAAAATAAAAATCCATTAATTGCTTGGAAATAATATTTGCGTGTGAGTGAGTGAGAGGAACTCCATGTATTGAAAATAGTGCTTGCTCTTTGCCATTTCCTATTGAAGCAAGTTAGAAGAAATATTTTAGTTACTTTCTCTTGTTGGGACAAATAGTTCATCTTCCATCCATTGCGTGCAGGCAGATGCAACTTTATTCCTGAGGAAGGTTCTGGAAATAAAGAAGAAATCGCTTAAGCAACGAATTCTCAACTATCAGAATTCATTTTTAGCTCATGCATTAAAAAAAAATCCCCCTTTAGATTCTTTTGAAAAACATTGGATATACGTGTCCGCAGTAAGACGCGAGTCCTGAGTATGACGATAAACTACACCCGGCAGCGAGGCCTCTGATCGGCAGATTGAAGGTTTTGAGTAGCGTGGAACTACCTCTTAACTACCGTTGTTCCCAGATCCACCCTGACTTGGGGTGGTACACCTGCTATGGCCCCAGCTATGTGCAAATAGTGAACCCCCTAACATGATGAAAGTATAAAAATACATGTTTGGTTTGGTTTGTTTTACGGTATATCAACCTCAAAGGATTTTTTAATGCCGACAAAATTTTTTATTGCTGGTAATATTTTCTTCCAAAAATGTATTGCTGGTAATGTTTTTTCCTTCAAAAATCTATTGCTGGTAATAATGTATTGCCGGTAATAATTTTTTACAAAAAAATTATTTCTGGTATGAAAACCTATTTTTACACTTTCATAATGTTTTAACACCAGTTTAGGGATTAACTATTTGCCCATAGCCGGGACCCTAACAGGTGCTACCACCCCAGGTTAGGGTAGATCTGGGAACACCAACAGTTAAGAGGTGGTTCCACGCTCCTCAAAACCTCCCGATCAGAGGCCTTGCTGTCGGACGTAGTTTATCGTCATACCCAGGACGGAATGCATTTTTATAGTAAAAAATATCAGCAATACATTATTAAATGTAAAAAATTACTAACGATACTTATTTATTGTAGAATTGCCAACAATAAAGTGTATAGCAAATTGACCAACAATACATTTTATTTGTATTTGAAGCCATAAAATTGTGTTCAAAATATTTAGATTCCGGCTTTAAATAACCCATAGCGGTTGATATGCCGTATAAACAAAATCAGCCAACCAACAATACCTATTTATCTGGAGTCGAAGCCATAAAACTGTGTTCAAAATATTTAGATTCCGGCTTTAAATAACCCATAGCGGTTGATATGCCGTATAAACAAAATCAGCCAACCAACAATACCTATTTATCTGGAGTCGAAGCCATAAAACTGTGTTCAAAATATTTAGATTCCGGCTTTAAATAACCCATAGAGGTTGATATGCCGCTAAACAAAATCAACCAACCAACAATACCGATTTATCTGCAAAGCCATAAGATTGCGTTCAAAATATTTAGATTCCGGCATTAAATAACCCATAGAGGTTGATATGCCGCTAAACAAAATCAACCAACCAACAATACCGATTTATCTGCAGTCGAAGCCATAAGATTGCGTTCAAAATATTTAGATTCCGGCATTAAATAACCCATAGAGGTTGATATGCCGCTAAACAAAATCAACCAACCAACAATACCGATTTATCTGCAGTCGAAGCCATAAGATTGCGTTCAAAATATTTAGATTCCGGTATTAAATAACCGCTATTTATATGCCGCTAAACAAAAGCAAACGACCAACTCTAAAGAACTCTTTCATGACATTAATCCATATAATATTCTACAATTAATAAAATCTAAACCCATAATGAAAGTGAATTCATACATTTATTTTTGTTCTTTATAACAAAAATATTAAACACTATTTATCTATTAAATATTTTATTTACAAGAATAATTATATATTGACAACATTCTAAAATCTAATACAATTAAAAATAATGCAATGCAATCTTTATCATTTACCAATTTATAAAGAAATAAATGTGAAAACAATTTTTTATTCATAAATTTATAAACATTTACTAAATAATCGAAATAGGTGAATCAAATATAAGGAAATCCTTATTATTTACCATTTTATAAAGTTTGAATCAATTAGCAATTGGGCGATGTTTTGCCAAACATCCAAATAAACAATCTAATAAAAGAATAGTGTCAATAATCTAACAATTGTCTTAAATTTTTTATATAAACAATTATTTTTCCAGATACATGTTCTACTATTTAACCCATAGCTGGATTTACACATTTTCCAAGAGTTTTACAAGAAACAATCTTCACTGAGATCTGTCGAAAGTAACAAGCCATTCAAAATATCTCAAGAACCGGTTGCGCAGCTTTGGCATAATTTGGCAATCAATCAGAGGAGACCTTATTACTTATATACGAACGGACACTCTCCCTTGGACTTACTCTGTCACCAGAGAAATGCGACAGAGTGAGATTCTATACCGTATATATGCATCAGTTAGTTATGCCTTGGTGATACACGCTTAGGTGATCATGTATCTTTCAATACATGACTTACGAGGCAGATTTTTTCTAGGTTTCTGCGGTAGACCAGTTGCTATCCAAGGCTATAGAACCCGATTACTCCTGCTATTTACCCATAGCAGGGGGAGAAGAAGAGGATTCATGCCTTTCCCAAGGGTATTAGCACGTAAGTGAATGTAATGGATTTGACTGAATTTCGAACTCGGCTCTCCGATTCCTCAATCCGAGCCGCTATCCATTACACCTCCATACATGCATCACGAGAGTGTATTTGTCCATTCATCATTTCTTGTGTAAGACCATTTGGTCATACATGACGTCATGCATATGTATCATAGTGGTACAGACCCGATCTGACTACCTGTGATTTCAGGATTTTTCAGACTGTGGACGAGATTAAAGTGAATGTAACGATGTGGATCCCTAAAAGTGGACTTTGTAGAATGTTCTAAAAAGTAGAAGGGACACTGGAATGAGTGAGTGAGATTAAGGAGAACATGGAGAGGCAACTGATGGTGATCCCTAAAAAATGATTTCGCAGACTGTTTTTAAATTGGAAAGGTTACTGAGGTAAGTGAGTGAGATTAGGGAGAACGTGATGAGGTAGCTGATGGTGGCCCCTAAAAGATGACTTCGCAGACTGTCTTAAAGAGTGGAAGGGTTGCCGAGATAAGTGAGATTAAGGAGAACGTGATGAGGCACCTATGGCGGTCCCTAAAAGATGACTTTGTAGTATGTTTTTTTTTTTAAATTGGAAAGGTTACTGAGATAAGTGAGTGAGATTAAGGAGAATGTGATGAGGCAACTGATGGCGACCCCTAAAAGATGACTTTACCGACTGTTTTAAAGACTGGAAAGGTTACTGAGTTAAGCGAGTGAGATTAGGAAGAACGTGATGAGGCAGCGGATGGAGATCGTCAAAACAGGATTTTGCAGACTATTTTAAAGAGTGGAAGTAATTCTGAGATAAGTGAGTGAGATTAAGGAGAGCGTGATGAGGCAGCTGATGGAAGTCCCTAAAAGATAACTTTGCAGACTGTTTTAAAAAGTGGAAGGGTTGCTGAGATAAGCGAGTGAGATTAAGGAGAACGTGACGAGGCAGGTGATAGCGATCATGTAAGAGGACTTTTCCGACTATTTTAAAAATTGGAAATGATCGTTGTGATATGCGTGTGTCTGTTATCCTAAGGAAAGTATATTGTATTGAATGGGACGAAGATGGAATTGTCTTTGGCAGGCTATTTGTTTCCTCTTATTGAATGGCTGGGTACTTCCCAGACAGACCTCGTCTATATATAAGTCATCACTTACTTCTTGTTCATTGAAGATGCCTTTCTCATCGCGCTGAACAGCAAGGGCACGTGCCAACTGCAAGAGATGTGCATAATCTGCATCATCATTCTTTTTATCAACGAGCGCGCCGTAGTGGCTCACCGGTTCTTCTGAATAAGGGAAGAAATCTCGTTTGGCTGGAATGAAATATCCTGGCCGACCATCCAGGACCACTTCCTCGTAAGGAACGTCTTCACTGTCGTCTGATGCGCTTTCCCCGTCCTCCAGAGCGTCGCTCACGTCGGATCGTTTCTGATATCCGTAACCGGCATTATCCTCGAACGGATTGCTCACAATTTCGTAGGGGGCTTCTTTTTCCAACAGCTCACTTTCGCTGTATGCGTTTGGCCAGGATTCAAGTGTAACTAATTTTTCGGGAATTTCACCTTTCAAATATTGTTCTGCGTCTTCTGGCAATAAGAGGTCACGTTTTGTTCTTTGGGGTCGATCTTCCATTTGTCTTCGTCTTCGGTAAATGTAGTTCAAAAAAGGTGTAGATTGGAAGGCTTGTTGTCTTTTAAAGTCAGCTGCATTTTCTGAAAACAAACGCAAAATAAAAAAAAAATCAATCAGAATATGAAATGAATTATATCTTGAAATAACAAATTTTATTTTCGTAAAATTGTTATTAAATTTGAAATAAAGAAAATCGAAAAAAAGGATACAATATGTTTTGCCTGGGAGTTCATATAAATTTACAATTGCTTTTTCTATTGACATATAGGAATAAAGTGTCGCTGCCGACACTTGAATTTGAACATAGATCGCCAGTGAGCAAACAGAGGCGATCCCATTATTGAATTAAGTAGACCACGTGACCATAGATGAAACGCACAATTAGGAAGTCGTGTGGCGTCTGATTGACTGCTATTCACTATACTATTTCTCTATTCGGATCACTATTCGGTGATTACTTTTCGAGCGAGTAATATCGAGCAAGTACTATTAGTACAAGTGTTATTCCAAAGCGTCTGACACTAGTATTGTTCAACGGCGTTGCTATAGTTGTATCTGCGATTACAAAGTCTCTACTAAAATGAGCATTACGAAAGTGACAACGAGTATTCGTTGGCATCACAAAAATGGCAACGTGTGTTCGTTGACATCACAAAATCTACAAATATATTCATGGCAATTGTTCTGTTCTTTGTACCTCGATTACGTGAATTTAAACGTGCTACTTGATTGGAAACTAGGTCCTGCCATTTTATTGTTGAACTAGCTAGATGCAAATGTCAGCTCTATTCTAATAATTTCTTTTCTCGTCCCGTGGAACTCACTTGCGATTTCTTGCTTCCTTGACACCTTCCAAAAATTAAATGCAACGTCACTCGCCATTTTCTGTCTTCCTGAACCCTGTTCCTTTATTTTTTTTTTCTCTCATTTTACCTCACTAATGTTTTCTTATTCTCTTTCACCCCCCGTAACTCCCTGCGTCTTTTTTGCATTATCGCCTTGCGTGGGGTGAAATGATTTAAAAATGAACAAGACATGAAACGAAACAAAACAATCGAAACGAAAACAATTTTTTTCCGTAGATTAAAAACGGAGGAGCGGTCAGTTCGAAATTTCTCAAATGTTACCTGGAATGACAGATATTTGAAGAAGACCGGATGACACAACGGCCAAAACGTTGTGATAATAACAACAAAGACGAGGATAACAGTCAGAATGTAAACAACAAGATAATATCTTAAGATGAATTTTGGGGACATATCTTTATTATCTTTTAAAAAAAAATCGCGGCTCCTATAGAAATATAACTTGAATCACTCTTTCCTTACTAAATATGCAACAAATACAAAGCCCGAGAGACACTCAAGGTAGATGGTTACTGACTGAGGTTGTTTTATGTAAGTAACTAAAAATTATGAAAACGGTTAATTTTGAAGACATTAAAATTATAGGGATCAAAGAAGCAACCTCTGGGGAGTTTGTTTCACAAAGTAGTGATGCTCAGGAAAAAAAGATTAGTTGAACTTTCTTCTTATCTGTGGAATATACAAAGGATATGAGAATGATTCGCCTCTGTTTAAATGTTATGGGGGCTCCTCGCTGTGAAGGTCTGAACTGGTGGAATATCTGAACATTTACCGTGGAAAAGGCAATAGACTAGCGAAAGGCTTTTCTTCTATGGGAAGGCGTTGTAAATAATTAATCACCCATGTTATAGCATACCTACAGACGATAATGGGTATGTCCCCATTAACATAAATACAGTAGTAAATACTGTATGTTGGTCTGTAGTTGAAGATTCGTCTCCAGCTGTGCTGGTCGAACTCTCTGCCTTCGGGCAGAGAGGAACCCAGACGAGGCTATGCCGAAGGGCAGAGTCTCGTCTGGGGCGGTAGACAGCTACTCGACCCCGTTTTTTACGGGGTCTACGGGAAATTTTTGCCTGAGCCTACGGGCTCGGAAAGCCCACGTTAAATTCGGCCTTGTGCCACATCTGACCGTATGGGTCGGTTGGCAAATATCCTGCAGTTGAAGATTCGTCTCCAGCTGTGCTGGTCAAACTCTCTGCCTCTGGGCAGAATTGATCCCCAGACAAGGCGATGTTGAATGGCAGAGTCTCGTCTCGGGAAATACCTACCCAACCCCGTTTTATACGGGGTCTACGGGGAATTTTTGCCCGAGCCTATGGGCTCGGATACCACATATTAAATTCGGCCTTGTGCCACATCTGACCGCGTGGGGCGGCTGGTTGATATAGCAGCAAGACGCCATTTTTTGGTCTGATCTGACTTTTGTAAAGAATGAGTATGGTATGTTGAGTCAGTTTTTTTTTCTGGAACGGTGCCAAGGGACCGCCATTTTTCCAGCATCTTTCCAGGTAGATCGTATCTAGGCGTCCCACTTGACGTCTGGGATGAACTTGAATCCCAACAGACGTTCACAGCAAGAAGCCTTATTGAGAGTACAATTGCTCACGGCCATTGGTCAGGATCTGCTCGGTGATGATGAAATGTTACTGGTTTGGTTTGGGAGGTATTGAATCTTTTTCCCCGTTGAGAACTAGATCAAAGGCGAGATCAACTGCCAAGCTCTGGTCATCTAGATTTTTAGACGTGCACCCATAAACTATCATCTGCTCATCATTCTTGTCTCAGATATTAGAAAATACTTTACTTTGCGCATAAAACAATACAGAATGTTTTCTCTTATTTGCTTTTGTGTCTGAGATAACGACTTGATTTTTTGCACGCGCTTTTGTCTTTTCTTTCTCAGACAAGCTTTTGGTCGGTGATTTCGATTTGTAAATACTGGATCAACATTGACACTATCCTCTTGATTTGTTCGATTCAAAGATTGAACCGGACAACAAAAAAAAAGTTTGTAAAGTTTTTCCAAGTGAATTTCAAAGACAGTATTTCGATATGTGTCCATAGATTAATTCAGATGCATAAGTGCCTTTTAATTCCACTACCTATCGGTCTTACGGGCATATCCCGATCTGGTTAAGGAACTTCTATCCTAGTCAATACCAAGACGGGTGACCGCTTGGGAATACGAGGTGCTGTAAGCTTGGATATGCGAGTGTTATGGCTTACGGCCATATCACATTGAAACACCGGTTCTCGTACGATCACCGAAGTTAAGCAACATCGAACCTGGTCAGTACTAAGATAAGTAACTGCTTGAGAATTCCAGCTGCTGTAAGCATGGAGGTTCGAGTGTTATGAATTATGGCTATATCACGTTGAAACACCGGCTCACGTTCGATCACTGAAGTTAAGCAATGTCGAACCTAGACAGTACCATGATGGGTTGGTGGTATAAGTTTGAATATGCAGTTGGTATGGCTTACAGTCATATCACATTGAAACACCGGTTCTCGTACAGTCACCAGTTAGACAACGGCGATCCTGGTCAGTACCAAGATGAGTGACCGTTTGGGAATACTAGATGATATAAGCCTGGATGTGTGGGTGGTGTAATGGATAACGGCATGTTCCAATTCGAGTTCCAGTTCGAGTCGAGTTCGTTATATTCACTTACGTGCAAATACGATTGTGAAAGGTATGAATCCACCTCTTCTCTTCTCCCACAGCTGTGGGATAATTAGTAGGACTTGTATCAGTAAAGATCATTATTATCTACAAAACATTCTTACAATCTAAATATATTTTCTGGCTTTAAATAACCTGCAAAGGGTTGATAAACCGTAGAAAGCAAATCAGTCAGTCAGTAAACCTACTGCATTTCGCTGTCTTTGGAGCAACGTCATGATTCCATCCTCCCAGAACTTGGCATCTTTCTGGGTGATGAAATGGTCTAAAAGGTTTTTCACACTCTCCCAGAGAATTGAAGTTCTCATTAAGAGAATTCCATACAGGTCAAAAGAAATCGAAATCCGAAGGTTAAAGGTCAGGTAAGTACTGCGGGTGTAGTACGACATACCAGCTAAGTTGTACCAATGTCTTTCTATCTAGCGAACTATTTACGAACATGACTCTCAGAGACTTCTTCTCGTCAGAAGAACTATTTCTGATTTTGGCAACTTTGATATTCACAGGTCAAATCGAAGGCAAGAGGGAGAGCAGAAAACTACACATGAGCCTGAGTAAATCGATAGCGGAGCAAGTTTTAAGGGAGTTAACAAAAAGACAAAATTTATTAAGTTAAAAGGAGAGGATATTGTGGAGAGCCGTGACCGTCAGTCCTGAAGATACACAGCCCATAGAAGAAAAATCGGCTCTCTAGAAGAAGCTGTTCGGTTGGAACTTTATTCTTATCAATGGAATATGGAGGAAATGGAGATGATTCGACTCTGCGTGTGCGGCGTAAAGGTCTGAACTTGTATAACTAGGGAATGTAGCCCTGCTACAAGCGTGGTGAAGACTGTGGATCAATCCTCATATATGGCGGTGGATGCTGAAGAATCTTCTCACAGATGAAGAAGAGATTTGAAGCAACAGAAATGTACTTCTACAGAAGGATGCTGAGAATACCATAGACCAAACATGTCAGCAACGACAATGTAAAAAATAAAAGAACACTTATACTTGACATGAAGAAGACATAATTCGAATTTCTAGACCATATAATAAGAAACAAAGGCTTGGAAAATTGGATACTCACAGGTCAGCTTGAAGGCAAGAGAGTAAGTGGAAAACCACACATAAAATACCGAGCGAGTAAATTGATGGCGGAGCAAGGTTTAGGAGTGCTAACAAAAAGACAATCATCACTCAGAGATGAAGAAGAGGCAACAGAAGCTCTACAGGCAATGGGATCAAAAAAGACACTTATCCTTCATATCAGGAAGAAAAAAGTTGAAATTTCTAGAGTTTATAATGAGGAAAGAGGGCTTGGAAAATTTGATACTCATAAGAAAAAAGTACTGAACTTTTACTCGATAGCAGTTCTACTACATGGCAGTGAATGGTGAGCAATCACCTCACTGATTAGAGAGAGAGTGTGAGAGTCTTGAATCCCCAGAAATGTTGTTCTACAGAAGGATGATGAGGATATCCATAAACCGAACTTATGAGCAAAGACGAAGTTTTAGATAATTTTTTTTAAGCATTTCACCCCAGGCAAAGCGGGATGCCACTAGTACGCAGGGGGTTACAAAGTGGGAGCGAGAGTAAAGAGGTGTAATGGAGGAAAGGATGAAGGGAAGGGGATAGTTCAGGGCATATGGAGATGTCGATTGACATTACATTTGAATAGTTTAAGATTATAGCTACCAGGGAAACAAGTAATAGGAAGGGAATTCCACATACGAGAGGTGCGAGACATGAAGCTATTGGAGTAGAAGAGACGGCCATATTTAACCGTTTCGACAGTGAAAGGGTGGGACTGGGATGTCAGCCTAGTAGCACGCTTAAATTCATGCAATTTGGGAACCAACGAAAGTAGCTCGTCGGTGCAGTTACCGTGAAAGTATTTGTAGAAAAGACAGAGGGAGGCGACGGCACGTCTGAGAGAAAGCGACTGAAGACGAGATACCAAATCAGGATCAACCATATTGCTTATCCGTCTCTGGGTGGAAAACAAAAAGAATACTTATACTTAACACCAGGAAGAAATTTTTAGATTATATAATGATGAAAGAGGGCTTGTAAAATTTGATACTCACAGGACAGATTGAAGGCAAAGTGGTACAGCGGAAAACAACGCATGACCTACCTGGCAGAACAGGTTTAATGCTAGGACCTCGAAAATACAGGGCCCGTAGCATTTGCTACTAGGTTAATTCGGAACAAGGTTAACTTACCGTCTTCATATTCCCTCAAGAGCTCATCGTAGTCAGCAGGTTTCTCCGTTTCGAGATGCTCTCCTAATTCTGGTAGTTCTTTCTCAGATTGTCCTTCAGCCTGATTTACCAATAAAGGCATCTGCTTATCCAAAGAAACTTTGTTTAACTCGGCAAGCGTCTTGTCACTATCGTCGACTGCGAGTGAAACAGGGATACTCTGGACAGCGAAGAGTTGGCTTTTGTCGTCCCCCAAGCTGCTATCAGCATCGCTGCTTCCAGATTTATTTTCTTCACTCGTCTCCACAACGTCGCTGATGCGAGTATTGTCACTGTCGCTATCGCTGTCACTGTCGCTGTCGCTGTCGTGTTGATCGGGTTCTCCTTTTTCAAGAATCTGGCCGACATTTAGTAGTTCTGAACTTCTGTCCTCCTCTGAAGCAGCAGAGGGTTTTTCGGAAAGGTCCTCTTCTGTTTGGCCCTCACTCGAAGCACTTTTATCAGAAGTGGACACAAGTTCTTTTTCAGGATCTGATTTTTTAATCCGAGGAGAATTTTGTTGGTTTCCAAACATCAAAACTTCTTTTGCCCTTTTTTCTAAAAAACAAAATGGAAAACATTAAACATTTTGTAAAAGACAAAATGGAAAATATTAAACATTTTGTAAAAGACAAAATGGAAAATATTAAACATTTTATAAAAGACAAAATGGAAAATATATAAGAACAAAATAAGATGTTTCTAGAAATGGTCACCGGAGTGAGAAAAACCTACCCCTGTGTATGAGTTCACTCCGAAATTTCTTCAAGATTGACAAATACCTGATGAAGGCCGGGGAATACAATGGCCTTAACGTTGTGATAATAACAATAAAAATTAGGACTTTAGTTCGAATGTAAATAATGACTCCTTATTCAAGAAATTCAGACATAAATTTGTGCAGTCATTAATTTCAACATGTGATAGGTCACCCTCGCAATGTACGAGTACCACTTCAACCAGTACTACCAGTACCTGGTCGAGTCATAGGCGTCTAAACCGCTTCAGCCACCAAGTTTTCCTATTGAGGGCGGTAGCTAAACACCCCGCAGGATTAAAACAAGATTTGTTTGAGGGTAAATAAACCTTCTTGTAGGGTCTACGGGCATCTTGCCCAATGGGGTCTATAGCTATGGATGTAACCTAGTCTGATGATAGCACAACATTGCTTGTAGGTATTCTGAGACTGAAGTCAAGAGTCGATGGAACAACGGTCACATGCCCATGACCAAGGTCAGTTTTCAAGTTCGGGGGCATTGGCTGTTGTCTGACCTGGAGAGGGATGGTCTACGCCAGGTTTAAAAGCCAAGGACAAGCTACATATGAATTAATACTTCTCCGGCTTCCAGCCCAGGTATATGTAGGACAGGTCAGGTGTTCAGCTGCGCAATTACCCTACGACCACACCTGGTCAAGTGACTGATGGCGACGATGATGCTGATGAATATAGGGGTCACCAATTCGCAGAAATATTTATGGTCTTGTGGAAGAAAGGGATATTTTTTCATAATCCGTCATTTTTTTTTTAAATTCAAAGTCAATTTTTAAAAATGTATTTTGATAACTTAAGAATCCATTTTACTTCAATTTACTTCTATTTTACTTTTCAATGATGTATATCAGAACGGAAATATCTAAAAAGGAAGAAAGGTTTTTTTTTTCTTCTTCACAATCCATCATTTTTTTTTAAATTTAAAGTTACTTTTAAAAAATGTATTTTGATAATTCCAGTATCTATTTTTCTTCCTTCATTTTAATTTTCAATTACGTATTTAAGAATGGAAATATCTAAAAATCTTTTCTGGAAGAAAGGATTATTTTTCTTCTTTACAATCCGCCATTTTTTTTTAAAAAGATTAAGGTCATTTTTAAAAAATATATTTTGATGACTCAAGTATCTATTTTTCTTCTTCCGTTTTAATTTTCAATGATTTATTTCAGAATGGAAATATCTAAAAATATTTTGGGGTAAAAAGGAATATTTTTTTCTTTTTCTTCTTCACAATCCGCGATATTTTTAAAAATTTAAAGTCACTTTTTAAAAAATGCATTTTCATAACTCAAGGATCTGTTTTTCTTCTTTCGTTTTAATTTTTCAATTTTTTTCAGAATGGAAATATCTAAAAATATTTTGGGGAAGAAAGGAATATTTTTTCTTTTTCTTCTTCACAATCCGACATTTTTTAAAATTTAAAGTCACTTTTAAAAATGTGTTTTGATAATTCAAATATCTATTTTTTTTCTTTCGCTTTAATTTTCAATGATGTATTTAAGAACGGGAATAGCTAAAAATATTTAGTGGAAGAAAGGTTTATTTCTTTCTTTTTCACAATCCATCATTTATTTAAAATTTAAAATCACTTTAAAAAAATGTATTTCGATAAATTAAATATTTATTTTTCTTCTTTCGTTTTAATCTTCATTGATGTATTTAAGAAGTGATAGAGTCAAGAACATGAAGATTGACTTACCAACATGGCTGGTCCTATCTGTGTTGAGCAACATCGCCTTCTCGTCTCCTTTTTTGTCTTTTGCCATATCCAAAGGAATGGCACTAATTAGTGAGAGCATCGACACAAAAACTAGAACAAGTATCAAATTCATGTTAAAAAGTTCTTCAGCTCGAATCTGAAAGCAAACGAAAAACACAAAAATCTCTCAGGAACAAATAAACGAAAGCAAAAAAAAAGTTATTAAATTTTCTTTTATTAGTGTTTAGGATTCCCCCTCCACTTTTTATAATACTCTCGTCCTTATTATTTTAATCCCTGTACTTCAGCCGATGCAGTCTTCAGCCTTCCTCTTTGTTTGAAATTCTGAGATGAGCCAATGGGAACATTCCATGAACTATTCAGGTTATTTTCCTAATCTTATTTGATTTATGTATTATATTTCGGCCAATGTCTTCTCAAGCCTTCCTCGTTGTCTGAAATTCTGAGATGAGCCAATGGGATCATTCCATGAACCTTACAGATTATTTTCCTAATCCGATTTGATTTATTTACTATAATTCGGCCGATACTCACTTCATATTCCATATTGTATGAAATTCTGAGATGAGCCAATGGGATTATTCAATCAGTCATTTTCTCACTTCTGTCTTTTCTACAAATATTTCCATGGCAATTATCCTCATGAGCTTTCATCCCTGATACCGCGACTGCGTGAATTTAAGCGTACTACTAGATTGACAAGTAGATCTCATAGTTTTACCGTTGTAACAGCCAGGCGCATGCGTAAGTTCTATTCTAATATTTTCTTTCCTCGCACTTTTTGCCCATTGATCTCTTTTCCAGGTTCTTGCTTCGTTGCCAATTACGATCTACGTCGCACGAATTCTTCTGCCTTCGGAAATTCTGTTCTTTTATTGTCCTTTCTACTAACTTACGCCTTCTCATTTTCTTTCATTCTCAGTAATGTCTTTCGTCTTAGTGACATTATCGCTTTGCTTGGGGTGAAATGATTAAAAAAAGAAGTTCCTTATTCTGATTGTTTTATTAATCTATTTCGGTCGTTGTATTCTCTTTCATTGTCTAAAATTCTAATATGAACCAATGCGATTAGCCCAGAAAGCTAAAAGCAACTTCGGGAAGAGATCCACTTCCTCAAACAGACTTACACCATGATGTCTGCGACTAAGACGTCTAGATCCATAGAATATTAAGTGAGACCCTGTATTTTGTATAGGGTGATCATGAAAAATAAATATTCTGACCAGTGGGCAGCTTCACGTCGTTATCTTTAAAAGGCTAACCATGAGGAACAGTTTAGAGACAATTAAAATCTACATTGTTAAAGTATCATTTCGTGGGTTTTTTTTTTGTTTTTTGGGTTTTTTTTTTTGTTCCAGACTCTCAGTTGGATTGAATTCTTCGACAAAGAAAAAAACAGAAATAAGATGAAAGAAATACAAAAAAGGGGAAAAACGTTTCATCTAAAAAAAAAAAAAAAATATCACAACGAAGTAATTCTTTGTTGTAAATTATATACTTTTTGTGATAAAAGTGATATGTACTCATTGTGTTACATCCTATTCATTTAAAAGTGGTATGTATTCTTTATTTTAAAAGTGGTATGTACTCTTTGCTTCAAAGTGGCATGTACTCTTTGCTTCAAAAGTGGCATGTACTCTTTGCTTCAAAAGTGGCATGTACTCTTTGTTTTAAAAGTGGTATGTGTTATGGTCCGTTTCCTTGTACCACGGTGATAGTCCAAGGTAGAACCAATAAAGAAGAACGCGAACACAGGCATGGAATAACACAGATATATTACAAACAGGAATATATACAGAGAAGTAGAAGTCTTAGTACGAACAATCAGGTTTAGTAGAGAGAACAATGTAGTCTCGACCAGTATCACTATTCCAATGTCTTGCAGTAATTGTCTGAACGCGACTCTGTTTCGGACTGCCTCTGACTCGACTCTTGACTCGACTTGAACTACTGACAATATACAGTCACCCCCCCCCCCCGGGGGGCTGCATGTTATACAAGGTCGGTTATTTAATGTGGGATATTCGAGCCCGTGGGCTCGGCCCCAAAATATGCCGATTGAACCCGTATAAACGGGTTCAGGGTCGGTTTACCTCCCCGAAAGTGACTCCGCCCTTCGGCGTAGCCTCGTTCGGGTTCCTCCCCGCCCGAAGACAGAGAGTTCAACCGAGCAGTCTGTTCAGAAGTGAACGACTGACTCCATATTCAGTCACCCCCACCACTGGGGCATCATGTGACACAAGGTCGGTTATTTATTGTGGGTTCTCCGAGCCCGTGGACTCGGCCCAAAAATATGCCCATTGAACCCGTATAAACGGGCTCACGGCCGGTTTACCGCCCGAACGAGACTCCGCCCCTCGGCGTAGCCTCGTTTGGGATCCTCCCCGCCAGAAGGCAGAAAGTTCAACCGAACAGTCGGTTCAGACTCCTGAGGCGCAGTATTTATTAAGTATGGAAAAGTCCATTATTATTATTATGAGTAAGATCCCATGACAGTATGTATTCTTTATTTTAAAAGTGGTATGTACTCTTTGTTTTAAAAGTGGTATGTACTCTTTGTTGTAAAAATTCCTTTTTGTAGATGTTCACTCAATACGAGGCCCAAGAGTCACTCAAGGTAGATGGTTACTGAGTGGCGTTGTATTAGTGTAAGAAAGGGCAAGAAATGAAGTTCTTGGAGTTACGCAGGAAAGATAAGGGATAACTCTAGACTTCAAGAGCTCAAGATTTAATTAGTAAATATCCTTTCAAAGTTCAGTCAGAGACGTCAGGAGTATAGTGTCGAAGTAGACTTTCAAAGGAACTGGAAACATTTTTTAAAAAAAACCGGGAGGGTGTGTAAACTGGACGATAGGCGAACCTATATACTCCTATTAATTAGAATTAGATTTTTCTCTACCAACGCCATTTTTAGAATCGAAAAATATTGTTTTTTTTTTATTATTCTAAAAGTGGTTACCTGTTCATAATTTAAATACAGTATCAAATCGAGCCCAGACTCCATAAAGAGTTATCGGTACTTAGTTTTATTTACAAGTAACATATTTAAAACCGTATTTACGTCAATGATAACTGCATGCTATTACAAATTAGGGAAAAATGGACATCAGACGTATCCATATTTTCTCTCGCTATTTGCCTGTATCTTCTCATTTACTACCTTATCCCTTCTGATCTTCGCTGGTCGTCGATGTTTGAATCTAAGTGTAGCACAAATATGGATTAGTTCCATATATGAAAGAAAAATAAAGAATGCGCAGGTCAGATAATAAGGAATGTTAATGTTTCCTTCTTACACTGATGCCCTGTACAAGGCACGGGAGACACTCAAGGTAGAGGATCACAGAGTAAGAGGAAAAGTTTATGCGTGTACGTGGGGAAGATAACGGTTAACTTGAACAGGTTAAGATTGTAGTGATTGGGGAAGCATCTTCTTGGGAGTCGGTTCCACAGGGTAACGGTTCGTGGGAAGAAGCTGCTCGAGCGGAGCTTACATATCACTAATGGAATACGTAGGGTATGTGGGTGGTTCGTTACAATGGTGGATCTTAGCTGTGGAGATTAGAAGTGGTGACACTAAGGAATGTAGCTAGTCTGAGCACTTTCCATTGAAATAGCGATAAACCAGTTGTAGGATGGAAAATAATTCATCACCCACAGGGACGCGGAGACGCTTATGAACTCGGTCAAGACTAGATATAGTAAAGTCGTTCCGTCTTTATCTGCCTTCCGGTATTTAAGTCCTTTAATTCCTTTTGTTGTTAACCCGGTAAACCTATTTTTCTCGTTTGTCTAACTTTTCTTTCTTTCTGTCTGTCGATATATTCTTTTCAGTTTTCTTTTTTGTTAATCTCTAGCTTTTTTCCTCTTTCACATCTTCTATTTCCCTTCCCAACACATCATAGATTTTCCCCCAAGTCCTTTCGGCCATAATAATATTATGGAAGTTTTCTCGGCCATAAAACGTGGCAGATTCCAGCTCACTAGGCCCCCAAAATCAAAACACTGTGCTCCTAGGTCTATTATCTATCTCTCATCATCTTGCGGCCTCAGCCGAGATTGAACTCACCAATACTTTGATTGGTGTAGTTCATAATCTTGTCAAATAGCTGAATTCTTGATGCTTCGCTAGGGCTATCAAGGGTGTTTTTATCGTGACACCATCACTAAATGGATTGCCAACCAAGTCTCAGAGAGACTCCATTCACCCTCCTCTAAGAGCAGGTTTGAATTCAGATTTTTCTTCTCTTAGACCAGTTGCCATCAAAGGCTATAGAACCCAGTCTGACCTGCTATTTACCCATAGCTGGAGGGAGAAGAAAGAGGATTCGACTGGAATTCGAACTCGGCTCTCCGATTCCTCAATCGAAGCCGCTATCCATAGAATCTTTCTGTCACACTTCATTTTTTACAAAAATCAGATTAGGACAAAAATTATGTATTATTAACAAGTCTGGCCTAGGGAAGCTCAACTCGTTTTCTAATCTTGAAAGAATCTTTCTTCCGCTCTTCCTTTTTACAAGAATTAGATTATTAGATTAGGCCAAAAATGGAATATTGCTGACATGTCTGGCCTACGGCTGCTCAAGCCCCTTTCTAACCTTGATAGAACCTTCCTGCCACACTTTATTTTTACAAGAATCAAATTAGGCCAAAAATGGAGTATTGAGGCATATCTGTCCTGAATCTACCCAATCCCTACTTTCGAGCCTTGATAGAGTTCAGAAATGTCTTTGCGGGCTTGTGGAGGATGAATTATTTTTAATTCTACAGCCTATCGCTACTCTGCTGCTATTTCTATAGGTTATGTTCTGACGAGGTACATTAAACAGTCCACACCTACACAGCTAAGACCGGCCCTGCTGCATACATTGAAAAGAATCACCCTCATTCCTTTCTTATTTCGTTAGTAAAAGAGTATTTCTATTCAGGCAGCTCCATCCCAAGAATCTATTCGTTATGAAACAGAATCCCGTGAGGTTGCTTCCGCAATCATTACAATCATAACCTTTACAAGTCTATGGTTAATCGCTATCATTCTAACATATTCTTATAAACTGCACTTCCTACCGCCTTACGTGCTTCAAGCCCAGTTATAGCTTAAGTGGCTCTTGGGCCTTGTATTGGGTGAACAATTATTTTTTTTAAAAATGTAATGGTTGTCTATACAAATAAAATTATATATTTATTGTAATTGTCAGTGTCTACAATGACAAGCTCCGCTATATTTTGGCATCGTTTTAATCTTCTGTGTATCTTCGAAGTGGTAAGAGTGACAAACAAGAAGATATAGAGAGAAGGAGAGTAAAGAG